AGGTGAGAAACACATAGAATTCAGAAAAAACTTGTAGCAAAGTAACAAAGTGGAGGAGGAAGAGAGAGGGGACAATATGCCTCTCTTCAGTGGATTCTACAATATGTATTATACTAAGGCAGCAGGAGTTGATAAAGGCTATAGCGCCAGCATCAATAAAGTGTAGCATTAACAGTGTATGGTTGTAGCAGCAAGTAAGTTAACCTTTGACTGTCGCAGGCTCCTTTCTGAAAAAACTGTCATTCCATGTTGATAAATTTTGGAAAAAAAAAAATTGATTTTTTTATGCAATGATAGAGAATTTCTTTCCTGGTGTAATGACACCAACAAAACAAAAGTACAAAATTTTGGGTCTCGAAAACTCACGGAATTACGCTCCGTGAAAGTTAGCGTCTTGGCGACATATACGCATCGGCAATTTTGCAACTTTGAGCCCTTGTTTTGGCCAATTTCCGTTGCTCCAGTTGACCTAACTCATAGCTATATTTATTTAGAACTCCATTTCACTATCAATGAGTACAAGAAAACAGCCCATTTTCATTTACTGATTTGAACTACTAAATGAAGTGGTCAGAATTGGCAATGTGGCCAATTTCATGCAAATTAAAAAAATGCCAATTTCAAATAGGGTCCATAATAAACAATGAAGAATTCTTGGCACTAAAAGATAACAATTATCTTCTGGTTCGTTAGTCCACGTCTCTGGGCTCCTCTCATATTTACTATTGCTTTCTATTTTGATTTTTTACTCATACATAAAGATACAAAATTTACTGTTATGCAGACTACTGCACTATTGTAAAAATGGTATAAATAATATCAGAGCACTTGTGAAAGAATATTAAACTCCCCAGTTGAAGTGTATCAGACGTGTGGTGTGATTTGCTTACTCCTGAACATTGGAAAAAATCGAACATTTCCGCTACTTTGAGCTCAATTTCAAGGTAGTTTTCATCATGAAACTAATCAAAATCATATCTATTTCTGTAATATGTTTTCCATTTTATCACCTGAGACCATGAAAAAGAGAATATAACAATAACCACTATATGAAAATACACCTCAAAGTCGGCGTTTTAATCCAAAAAAATGGTCGTTTTTTTTCTCTCATTAGACACTGCATGCTGCAGGATTTTTTTTATGTGGTGCACACTGACCACACAGACCCACTCTCTCACATGTGGGCCTAGCAGCTTTTTCCCGCTTCATTTGAAGCCGCTAGAATTTATGCGTATAAATACATCAGAAACAGTGGCGCGTAAGATATACAGTGGACCCCCGGTTAACGATATTTTTTCACTCCAGAAGTATGTTCAGGTGCCAGTACTGACCGAATTTGTTCCCATAAGGAATATTGTGAAGTAGATTAGTCCATTTCAGACCCCCAAACATACACGTACAAACGTACTTACATAAATACACTTACATAATTGGTCGCATTCGGAGGTGATCGTTATGCGGGGGTCCACTGTATATATATATACGACCGAAACAGTCAAAGAGTTAAGCGATATAAAAAAAACACAAAACTTACTCCTCCAATGTTATTGGGGGTACATAGGGCCACTGAAAAACATATGCTGCCCAGCCTATCTTACACCACCCTAAACCAATGCCAGCATCTCCAAGGTACAGTAAGTGTAAATACAGTGGAACCTCTACTTATGAATTTAATCTGTTTCTTGACCTTGCTCGCATTTGGATTTGCACATTTGCAGCCAATTTTCCTCATTTAACCCTTTGAGGGTTTTCGTCATACTAGTACGTCTTACGCGTAGGGGTTTTTGACGTACTAGTACTCATAAATTCTAGCGGCCTCAAATCTAGTGGGAGAAAGCTGGTAGGCCTTCATATGAAAGAATGGGTCTATGTGGTCAGTGTGCACAGTCTGAAAAAAATCCTGCAGCACACAGTGCATAATGAGAAAAAAAAAACTTTGACCATTTTTTTTTAATAAATCAGCGACTTTGCAGTATATTTTCGTATGGTATTTATTGTTGTATTCTAGTTTTCTTGGTCTCATTTTATAGAATGGAAGACATATTACAGAAATTGAGATGATTTTGTCTGGTTTTACAAAGAAAGGTGCCTTGAAATTGAGCTCAAAGTAGCAGAAATGTTCGATTTTTTTCCAAACTTCAAAAGTAAACAAATCGTGCCAAGCGTCCAATACACGTCAACTGGTGAGTCTAATATTCTTTCACAAGTGCACCAATAATATTTATACCATTTTTTACACTAATGCAGTAGTCTGCATAACAGTAAATCTTATATTTTTTGTGAAAATAAAAATTCAAAGTGGAAAGCAAAAGAATATAAGAGTGGCCTTGAGACGTGACTAATGACTAGAGGAAATGTCATTTTAGTGCCAGGAATGTCTTTCTTGTTTATTCTGGACCCTATTCGGAAATTGGCATCTTTTGAAATTTGTGTGAAATTGGCAAAATTGCTAAATTCTGACCACTGGTACTGGATAGTTTGAATTTCATAAATGAGTGGTTTCTTGCACCCATTCGATAGAAAAAATGGAGTTCTAGCGAAATTTCATTTTTTTGACTAGTAATAAAATTTGGGCCGAAAATGGGCTCAAAGTGGGAAAAATCGCCGATCGAAACATCGCGAGACCCAAACTTTGGAGAGCATTTTCGAAATTTTTTATAAAATTTCAAATTTTTGGGTCTTTATGAGGGGGAAAAATTCCTTCTTTTCTAAGAGAAAAAAATTTTTTTTTTTTTTTTTAAATTTTGGGACCCTGAGAACGAGTTTGGGAGGGCCTGTCGACCCTAAAGGGGAAAAATAAACTGAAACGCAATTTATCCCATCCCCTCAGGAGGCACAATAAGATACGAAATATTTCACTAATACATCTTACAGTTTATTATTTCACAATTCAATAATATGACAACAAACAATTAAATAACACAGAAAACTAAAATATACTCTGGAATGAAAGAATATGCTTTATGTGGCAATGGAGGGGGGCCACAACTGCCCCCGCATTTTTGTGGTAATCACTGCCACTAATATGAAATTTAGAAACTTCATTATTAATTTCAGTTACCCCGGTTTTGCGATTAATCTGTTCCAGAAGGGCCCGCCGAAAGTCGAAAATCACGAAACTCGAAACCCTTTTTCCCCAAAGAAATAATGGAAAAAAATTAATCCCTTTCCCGAACCCAAAAATTTTTTAAAATAAAATTTTTTTTTTTTAAAATTTAAAAAAAGATTAACCCTTTTTAGGGGCCGTCCCGTAGACACGCTTTTCGGGGAGGGTCCAAAACCTAGACTATGCCAAAAAATTTTGCGCCGTCAAATTTAGCACGAAAGCGCCTAGGCCCACATTTGGGGAGAATGGGGCGGCCGTAAACAAAAAAAAAAAAAAAAAAAATTATAATTTAAGCCCCAAAAAAAAAAAAAAAAGTTCAATGCCTTGCAAGTCCGCCTCTCACTCCCCCCCCCGGGGAAAAATTGGGACTCCCCTTCCGTCTGATATTTTTGACACTGAGGAAGGGAAAGAAACGAAATTCTACGGCTTTTGATAAATTTTAGACCCAAAATAATGACCGGATTCGAAAAAAGTGGAAAAACCCCGACATCCTCGACCTTTACCCTGGGGGGCACTGGACTCATGGGCGGATGTTCCAAACGTAAGAAAAATAAAATTTTCGCATGCCAGGCCCTGCTTCAGTAATGACGATATTCTGATGTGGATTTGTGATTTTAATTTCGCCGACGATATTCGAGTAGTGTAGTAGGATCTATTCACCTGAAGCTCGTATTTCGCCGCCCCCCATGCCTCGGGTAGTTACCCCATGCTGTGCCCAGGGGGCGGATCATCCGGAGTACATCCCGTGGCCCTACACCCAATT